CCTCAGCTTTTCATAAGGATGTTTTGAGACATTTTACTTCTGTTTATGATTAAAGTTGGTTAAGATTACCAAACTTGTAAGTGGTGAGCAATCTATTAATGCTAACTTAAGCTCAAAACTGAAAAAGATTGGGGACTTCTGTCAATCTTTGACTTCTTTAAACCTTTTTTAATTCACTGTTCTTTCAGTAACAATGACAGCCCACATTTTCTTGAGATCTTCAATGACAAGCAAAGAGCATGCAAAATGTCAAGGCTTTTTCTGCCTGAAGAGCCAAATATATGAATCCCACTTACTTTTCCAGGAACACCCACATCAACCAAAAATCTAAATATAGATACAATGATGTAATATATCATATAGATTCATTAACAGAACAAATTTAATAAACATATGGAAAAAACCAACATCCCAAAGAAGTGAAGCATTATCTAACAAGCCATTAAATAAAGTCAAATAAATCCAAATAAACATAACATGTAAGTGACTGACACATCTCACTTCAAAAACCATAGCTTTTCTTTACAACTTTCTTTTATGTTAGCACTTTATCCCAAAATTTTAGCTCACTCCCATAAACTGCAATGATGGAGAATAAATCTTTTCATTAGAAAAGGGTAAATGTTTTACTAGTCAAGTTCACAGCCATGTACATCTACAGCAAGTTGAGTTTAACAATAGAGTTACAATAACAGAAGGAAACAGTTTTTTCATCAAATGACTTTTGTAGGAACATAATGATGAATCAATAATAATAATAATAAAAAAGGTGATAAATAGATGACGATAATAGTAATGATAATTGGTAATAATAATAATGATACAAATATGACTGCATGAGTGATTCAAATTATGTACTTCAGTAACCACCCACTTCACATCACCTCCAGAAGTTATGCCCTTTCCTGGTGTGTTTCTGGCACAGAAAATATAAACTCTAAACAAGTAATCATCAAGAACATTGTGACAGTTTTCAGGTACTCATTTTAACCCAATGCCAATAGGCATAATGTGTACATGCATGCTATGCCCACAGTGAGTTACTTGTTTAATTGTTTTTACACATAGATGGCTCCACTTGTGCTAAGTCACCAATGAGCCAATTACAAGTACTGCCTGTCTTGCCCGTTAACCCTTTTCTTTGATTTACGAAAATATTTTACATAATCTTATTTTGCTGTTACTAATGTTTATAACATTATAAAAATGTGAGACAGGTAGAACTAATTTACTTCTCAGTGACTGAGCACTTATAGAGCATTCTATGTGTAAACACAATTATCGAAGTAAGATCACAGTGGACATGGCTTAAAGGTACATCCCTAGCAATAATGGATTAAGACTGGCCAAAGCTTATGCTTCAGAATATCTACTATATAGAAGTATTTTAACATAAAATGACAAGCTAAGTTGTAATAATCTACAACTGTAAAAACTGAGAAAAAAGGGATATCACATATATCACATACTCATAATACAAAATTATTTTCTTCACTAATATAATTATTTTGCAATATCAGCAGAATAGACTCAGGATGACTTTGGGAGGCCTATCATATCAGCAAAGCATCTGTCAAGCCGGAGTGCTAGCTTGGCTGCCAAGAGCTGACATCTGCGGTCCCTGTCCTGTTGCAGGGTCACAGCCAGCCACTGCCGCAGTTCCACCATCTCCCCAGGAACCAGAGATAGCAGCACTGTATCTGGGACAGCCTCCAGCGCTGATGACAAACCCTCCAAACATGCTCCCCTGATTTCAGGGTCGTTTTGGACCCTAAGGGACCAGGTGAGCTCCAGCAGACAGCCAGCCATCTTGGTTGTAATCTCACACTGGCCTGTCACTCTCACTAAGAGGCCAAGGGTACGAAGTAGGTCACACAAGAGATGACGGTCTGCATCCAAGAGGTCAAGGTGTGGTCGAGGTTCTGTGACACCTCTCACAAGTGGGAAGAAGAAGAAACCAGCAGCCTCTTTCATAGAATTTGGCTGCAGTGCTTTCCTCTGCTGCCCAGATTTCAGTGAGTTTGATTGAGGCGACACGCCTGAGAGTTCTATTGCTGCTTGCCCTAATGTTTGAAGGATGTCCTTTCTCTGTTTCATTGTGTAATTCCTTTCAAAGAATTCTCCTCCCAGGTAAAAGGCACACTCACGCGGATGTGAGACTGTAAGTGCACAGAGTGACCTGGTACGTCTCTCATCAAAATCCTCCAGGTTGTACTTGTTGTCAAGGTGCACCAATACCTTGGTCATCTCCACAGCCAACTCAGAGTCTTGCTCCTTCATTTCTTGCTGCACAATCCTCTCACATACTCTGAGGGCTGCTTCCACCTTATCTACTTCACCTTCTATGATGTATTCTAATACTTCTTGAGGATATGCAGGTTCCTTGACCTTTGACTGACATGTGTCATTTGACATGTCATAGGGCTCAAACTCATCATCATCACTGTCAAGTTCTGCTTTAGATTCCATGTGTTTGGAATCATCTTCCATAATCACTTCTATCAAGCACTTTTTTGTATCTTCTTTTCTCTTCTGCAAGTGGCTGTCTCTGTTTGCATTATTCTTAGATTCTAAACTCTCGTGGGAACCTTTCTTTAGTATGCCAATGCTATGTAATTCAGCTTCAAATTCTTCAAACAGAGAGGTACCATTACTATCACAATCTGATGGAGCCACTTCTGGACAAGACTCCTCTCCCTGTTTACAAGCAAGGGCTTTCAACTCAAGGGTAAGATCATCATCTTCATACTCAAACTTTAGACTTGGGCCCCCAGAGTGAAGCACTTTTGTCAACTCCTCCCCAACGACCATACCCAATACCTTCATTTGCTGACTGGGATTGTCTAAGTGGTTTGCCATTCCATGCAACAGTTTCTGTATGGTTTCATGCTTGCAAGCCTCAACATCCTTTGGGTTGAAGTGAGAGACACAAGCCATAAGACCCTTAGTGATGAAGGTGTGGTACTCAAAGGAAGAGTGTGTCACAATGCTCTTGTCACACCACACCTCAAGTAACTGGGAGAAGGAAGCTTTCAGCAACTCATTGGTTGGGTCTGCCAAAGCAAGGTAATCAATAATGGTTGGCACAGACTGGGTATAAGGGAGATGTCTGGTGATTAGGAATTTTTGTGTTAAAAGATACTTCATCTTGGCATTTGTTACACCACAGTCTCCAATCACAGAGAAGAGATCCTTAGAGTTCATCTTCATCTTCAGGAGTGCAGTCAAGACCCTTTCACTTGTTAAGCTGGGCAATCTGGCAAACATTTTGAAGGATACTCTTTGAATTATGGGATTTTTCTTGACCCACACTCCCAACCAATGCATTATTGGAAGCAAAACTGATTGCGTGTCACTAACATAGCACAACTGTCCCAAAAGCTTAGCAACAGGTTCCACAGTACCAGAGACATCATGATTCAAGCCATCAGCAACACAAACCAGAGCCTGGAGGATCTGCAGGGCCACAATTTTACAAAAACTGCTTGGCATGAGTCTCTCTGGAGTATCTTTCTGAAGTTTATTGGCTGTTCTCTCAGGCAGTGACACTAATAGTCGAACTGTTTCATCCCACATGGAATCGTTCTCGCCTTTCCCTAATGGCTCTGAACAGCGCCTCAGGAGACAATCCAAAAAGCAACTAGACAACAAGAGGTCCTCCAGAACAGAGACAGCCAACTTGGCAGATTTTAGTTCTGCATTACTGATAATACAAAGCAAAATATTCAGGTTCTCCTCAAAATAACCTGCCTTGAGGAGGTTCCAGATAATATCATGGTATTCTTTATGCTTTCTCAGAATGCCATCTGCTGTAAAATTATTAAGCAGTGTACTAACTATGGGCCCATAGAAATGCTGCCGGAACAGCCACCCCTCATAGGATAGCTGGTCTATGCCAGCATACTTCTGGGGGGTACAAGCTCCTGCCAGGTGGTCACTCACATTCTCTAACAAGTTTATGACCCTCTCTTGATCTGGGCTCCTCTTCGAGATCTCTTCCTGGAGACCATTCGAGAGGGCTTTCAGTTGGGTTAGAATCAGCTGGGATCTTGCCTCAGCCTGTTCTGGTGTGTTGTTTACACCTTCAGTCTCAGGCTTGGTGGCCAACCCATCTCTGTTCTGATCGCCAGGCTCATTTTGTGGAGGTCTTGATGCTGAAAATCAAAAATGATACTATTGTGGCTAGCCAAAAACCAGTTTTCATATTCTACACTTAATGAGAGCTCAGCTAATAAATGTCTTATTATAAATCATGAAATCAATGACAGATCAATGATATGTTTCACAATAATCCACATGTTGATATCTGCCTTTATTTCAAAAAACTTCGAGGCTTATGAATATGTCAGAGATTTTGGCATGCATATCCACAAGGAAAACTTTGTTTCAGCACAGAAGAGTGATTCACTGTATAAAACATTTCCTTATTCAAGAGAAACTAAGAAAATAAAATTTCATTTGGGTAGTCTACTGAGACAGCACATCTGGAGACGATATCCACAAGTTCAAAAAGAGGTTTTCCATTCTAGCAGGCGTGATGTTGATACAATGCAAAAAATATTCATGTTTCACTAGCAAAATGCAACAGGGTTTTGTGTTCTGAACATGCATTCATCAATGATGCTATAATAATAATAATAATAATAATAATAATAATAATAATAATAATAATAATACATTTACCCTTCAGTAAAATAAAATACATATTACTAAAAATGCATTCGCTTCACCAATTATATTTACAACTTGGAAACTTATCCAACTCAGCTGCAAAATTTCATCCTCCCTCAAATATAAATTAGATGTATATTTGTGTTAACCCATTGGTAACAGTCCTGCACTGTCCACTTTCTTTTTTCCCTTTCTTTCTTAACATGGATAACTCCACACATGCTCAGCCACTATGGAGTCAAATCACAGAAATGACCTCAGCAGATTTTCCCAGTCCTTGAATCTGTGGAAAAATATTTTCGTCTTTTCTATCTAAAGCTATTAATATT